TTTTTTTTTCTTCCAATTATTAATTTATTAATTTTCTGACTCCATTACTAGACGATGAGGCCGGAGATGGAGAAGCTCAAAGAAGAAATAAATAATGTATGGTATCCACTCTAAAATTTGGCTGATAATTGCTTGCTTGATGGGAATTGTCTTATCCATATTTGGTTCTGTCGTCACTTTTGAGATCTGAACACATGAAAATAGGTTCTGTATGGATTTACTTGTAAAATACAAAATTTCTATGTTTTTATATTTCTACACTTAAATATTCTACTTGCTTAACACTCAAATCTCTAAATCACATAAAAATAGCAGAAATATTAACTTAATTAAGGTAGAACACACCTTTTATTGTAAATGTTTTGATATGATTTAGCCACTAAAGTTGTAAGTAAATGTAAAGGTTGAGTTAGATTTGTAAATATATGAGAATTTTGTAGCATATAAGTGAATATTTTAATGCAATTTTCTTTTCCCCCATGAAATGATCCTGGAAAACCTACTGCAGAATATGAATCCAGAGACTCTTCAGGAGAATCAAAAACGAATGAAGGCATTATTCAAGAAGTATGATTCTGTATTTTGGTGCATTTATTCAAGAAGTATGATTCTGTATTTTGGTGCATTATACTTACATTGACATGTAGATTTTTGTCTGACAATGTTTAAATTTTTAGCTTTATCTTTGTTTCCTTTTTGTGTTTGGAGGGCTATTTTGATAATGTTATTTCAATTGTACGCGAAGCCTATAAAAATATTTATAGTTTGTTACAATGCTTACTGCTTGGTTTTCATGAAATGTGCTTAATTTAGCTCAATTGTGCCTAGTATTGATTATTAAAAAGTTTAAAATATGACTATGCATAGATTTGAGTGGCACTTGGCATTGTTGTCTGTTGGCGATAAGTAGTGTTTAAATGTATCTAGGTAAGTGAGGCTTTCAATAAGCTGATTTTTCAGACATATCTCATTGTTTTTTAGGTTAATCGAGGGAACATTAGCACTTCATAGAATCATGTCAGTCAATCAAAATATGAAGAGAAGTTTTAAAAGTCTTTAGAAGTTCTTTACCTTCTTCAGGAAGGAGTATTTAATATTTGTTGATGTAGAAGCGAAAATGCCTTTTTTGGGATTGATGGTAAACGGAGAGGTACTTATTCTTTGAGATCCATGTTGGATGAAAATTCCTTTAGGTAAATGTTATTTTGGTCCTTGTCTATTTAAGGGGTTGTGAAATAAGACATTATATGTCCATGATTCCTGCCAGAAAATTTTTTCACTAGAGGTGAAGGACAGATGAGTGAAGATCCCTTAAAATTTAAAATTTATGCTGCCTATTCATTTCATAAGACGTGTTTGTAACTGGTTTTGGGTACTATGTGAGTCTAATCATTGGATTTTGATTGAATGAGACATTACACTAGAAGTGTTCGTGTTGTGTTGATCTAGAAGCATTGTTACTTCAACCTGTCTTTTTTGACGGATCTTATACAAGCACAAATTTTGATGTCATGGTTGAATAATTAATATTAATTTTTGATGTCATGGTTGAATAATTAATTTTAATTGATGCTTATATTTTTATAGAAATGCATCTATTGATTCCTTACAAAATATATCCTTAAATATTTAATTTCTTAAAATTTGAAACTTTTTATTACGAGGATTTAGAAGAATTGTTGCTTTAGCCTATCTTTTTTGACATCTATTATAGAAGCACAAATTTTTATATCATAATTGGATAATGCATATTAATTGATCCTTATATTTTTATAGACATGCATCAATTGACTCTTACAAAGTATATCCGTAAAATAGATTATTTCTTACGATTTGAGTCTTTTTATTACTTAGATTTAGCCTTGATATTCTTCAACCTCTGCTCTTAAGATATGTATTTTGACATTTGCGCTTATTTGTGGATTGAGATATTAGGATTTCACACCTTGTGTGCGTTGCTTCTGCATTTGACATTTAGAGAATGCCATTTCAACTCATTTTTTTGAAATTTCTATGCTTATTTTAATGCTAACTGAAGATGATTTTTCATTTTTTTTTTTATAAAACATTATACTCATAGGCCAGGCCTTGGCCCATGCTTTGCCGTTGGTGAGCCATTAATTTTTTTGGTAGATTTTGGGTTGAGTGGTGGGATCAACACATTGATGACGGGCCTCTTATGTTTATCAGAATTCTCAACAGGGCCTGCGCTACAATGGGCCCTGTGTGTTGATGGGCATTATTGAAGGGACTTGTGCTTGCTCGAGAGCATTCGTGTTGGTGCTCACGTAATGTGGAAAAATTGTTGCTTGACTGAAGCTAGTTATGGAAAACATTTTGGCTGCCACCAACGATACTAGTTATGGAAAAATAGGTGCTCGAGCATTCATGTAGTTACTGTTAGAGGCACAACTTACTGTGGGTTAGATTTTGCTAGTTATTGCTACTGTTTGATGATTATTAGTGGGACTTATTTGGTGGTGGGAACTCTCTTGATAGGCCTTCCAAAGCCTAGTGTGACTTTGAATACTTCATACTAATGTTCTGGGGGTGAGGAGTTAAGTGACTTTGAGTACTTCATACTAATGTTTCGGAGGCGAAGCAAATTGTCTTGTGGATCTAACATTGAATGGTTTGGGATTAGAGTGCCTTGAAATGAATGTGATGGGTTATGGAAAGGGAAGAATTGAGACACAATATCTTGATCAATCCAATGAGGATTTGATCCATTCATCAACTCATACACTTCTACTAGAGGCTTGATCCTAGTTGTGCATGTTTGTGCTGCAACTTGATCAACCCAAAAAGGATTGAATCTTTACATCAACTTGTACGTGTTATGTTGTAGCTTCATGTGTTCATTCTATGACATGATTTTACAATCCTTCCGTAGACTTTTACCCTTTAGGCAAGGTCACTTGTTGACCTCAAAAGGGCCAAACCAATGCTAGGAAGATTCAATATTTCACATCAAACTATATACATTTTTTATGTGACTTGATTCTACAATCCTTGGCAAGGCTCTTCTCCCTGAAGGTAATGAATTCAAAGTGGTAAATTGATCTCAGAAGGATATAATCTGTAATATCTTAACTAGCTGGTGAATGTCAGATTGTTCCTTAACTAGCTGTGATTCACCTCTCATGGAGGCATACCATTAAGGCAAATATGATCACCAGCAATCAATGCAGAGAAGCTCAAACAACAACCATGCAATTTAGCTCCTTGTCATTCTCTCTCCTCTCTATAAAAAGAAACGGCGGCAAGTTCCATTGAGCTCAACAAACTTGAACAAAAACTGAACATGCCTCAATTTTAGGCAAATTCATAGAGGTGTTTACCAAGCCTCAACCAATTTCCTCATCCATATGAGCATTTTCTTTGGCAAAGACTAATGAAGATTGAGTGAACCTTCTCTTTTAAAATTGAAGAAGTGTCTCCTGCTAAGAATAATAAGCATGTTAAGCACCTTGACCTTATTGTTGAGAAAATTAGTGCGAAGAAAAATTAGAATCGACACAAATCCAGAAGAACACAGAGATTTAACGAGGTTCGGCAAAGATGCCTACGTCCTCGGGAGCAGAGCGGCGAGTTCCTACAATATTCAGAAAAGAGGTTACAGAATAGAGGGATACCTCCTGGGGTTACTAACATGCCTATTTATAACCCCAGGAGTAAATCTAGGCACAACATGTAAATACAACATTACCCCTGTACCATACCGCGGGGCTTTGCCCCCGCACCCCAACCCACATAACTTCCCAATTTGGACAGATTCTTCCGCTCCGCTCCGCTTCGATCCAGCGTCTGTCCCGATA